ATAAATTATGATATATTATGATAATTTTCATGAAGATTTACACAAGAAGTACTATGTAAGAAATTAGTGAAAACTATATAAGAAAGTACCAAGTGAAACAAGTTAGTATGCCAGGACATACTGAAATGATCCTCCTATAGAAGACAGAAGGATCAGTAAGTTTTTCTAAAAGATATACTTTACATAATATAATTGTTGCACTATGGGACGCTTGGGTGGCTCAGTCAGTTAGGTGTCCAACTTTGGCTCAGGTCATGATCTCACAGTTCGTGGGTTTGAGTCCCACGTCAGGCTCTGTGCTGACAGCTCAGAGCCTTGGAGCCTGTTTCAGATTCTGTGTCTCCCCTTCTCTCTCCACCCCTCCCCCACTCATGCTCTGTCAGTCTCTGTCTCAAAAATAAATAAACTATTTAAAAAATTTTTGCACTAACTTTAAGTTACTCCATTTCATTATCCAAACACTGGCTACACAGTAATTTGGAATTTCCCCCTATATTATTACTGTCTCTCTTTATCTTCATAGATATTACAATCTATACAGCATCTTGCTTTAAAGTGTATGGCCTTCTATTATCTGAAACTCGTACTTTTTCTCTCCTTCAAGCCAAATCATCACGTCAATAAGTGTCCATCATTCCTTTATCCCTCAGTCCTCACCCATCATGTACATGCGCATACAGACATATGCAGACAGACAGACACATGCACACACACAGACACACATACACACAGGTTGGGGGGACAGCACAGCAAGGCTCAGGAATGGACATCAGGAGATTTTAAACCACCTGCTTCCAGTACAGGTAGGACCTCTGTCCTGAACAGATACTCTGATATAGTTACCACCAGCTATGATTATTACGATTCTCCTTGTTGCTCACTCTGGATTACCACGGTATAATCAGTTTATATTTTACTCTTTTTAAAGGTATTTTATAGCTGTCCCCTATCCCCCAAAATGATATATACCTCCAGTACCAAAATGGTCTTATGTGGGTGCCTCTGTTACCTGTGAAATTTTAAATAATACCTCAACTAACTCCATGTCCTATTCTATCAACTTTTGACAGTTATTTAGGAAATCCCAGCCTTATAAAATGAAGAAGGGCTAGAGTCCTAGGAATACATTTGAATGAGAATATCTCTAGCCTCAAATTCAAAGGATTGGCTATAGTACTTCTTGTGCTCATTTTAAGGCCCTCCAAATGCCAAAAGATATAAGATGGTTTTCTGGTGGCTTCAATATCCCCATTAGAGGTCTCAGCTTTCCCCAAAAGTTCATTCCACCCTTCAGAGAAGAGTCCACTCCTATTTTGGCTAGGACTAAAAGTAGTCTGCCTGATCCTGGGTGGCAGCGGATAGGAGATTAAACGACAATGGTCAGAGAGAAGATAGGTCTTATGTCATTGTGTGAACCTGGGATATTTCCAGTGAGTGCGATCAGAAGAAGCCAATGAGGACTGAGGGCAGAGGGGAAGAAGTAGGGAAACCAGTTAGAAGCAATCCAGGAGAGATAATAGTAGCTTGGACCTGGAAAGTGGGGACAGAAGTGTTAAGAAATAGTTGAAAACTAGATACATTGTGAAGGGAGAGTCAAAAAAATTTTATTGAAGGACTGCAAGCAGGAAATGAGAGAAAGCAGTCAAGAAGGACTCCAATGTTTTGGATGAGAAAGAAGTACACAGTTAGTGTCTACAGATATAGGCAAGGTTTCTAGGTGACCAGGTTTGTGTGTGTGTGTGTGTGTGTGTGTGTAGGGGGGTGGCCTTAATGGGATACTAGTGGTAATGAAGATATCACTTTGGATATATTAAGGTTTAGATGTCAATGAAGATATCACTTTTGGATATACTAAGGTTTAGATGCCTCTTAGTTAATACAATAGCCTGACCTTAACTGACCTCTCCAGTCTAGTACTTGGACATTCTATGGACATTCTAACATATTGTACATAAGGCCCACTAGAGTACTCTTTTTTTTATTTACTATTTTATTTATTTGTTATAGTTTATTGTCAAGTTGGTTTCCATATAACACCCAGTGCTCATTCCAACAAGTGCCCTCATCCATGCCCATCGCCCCTTTTCCCCGTCTCCCGCACCTCCATCAGCCCTGTTTGTTCTCAGCATTCAAGAGTCCCTCATGGTTTGCCTCTCTCCCTCTCCCCAACTATTTTTCCCCTTCTTCTCCCCCACGGTCCTCCATTAAGTTCCTCCTAATCCACCTATATGTGCGAACACGTGGTATCTGTCCTCTGCCTGACTTATTTCACTCAGCATAACACCCTCAACTTCCATCTATGTTGCTACACATGGCCAGATTTCATTCTTTCTCATTGTCACGTAGTATTCCATCGTATAGATGAACCATATCTTCTTGATCCATTTGTCAGCTGATGGACACTTAGGCTCTTTCCAGGTTTTGGCTATTGTGGAGAGTGCTGCTATGAACATTGGGGTACATGTGCCCCTATGCATCAGAACTCCTGTATCCCTTGGGCAAATTCCTAGCAGTGCTATTGCTGAGTCATAGGGGAGTTCTATTGTTAATTTTTTGAAGAATCTCTACACTGTTTACCAGAGGGGCTGCACAAGTTTACATTCCCACCAACAGTGTAGGAGGGTGCCCATTTCTCCACACCCTCGCCAGCATCTAGAATCTCTTCATTTGTTCATTTTTGCCAAAGAGTACTCTTTTTAAGTGTAAATTTAATAATTGCCACCCATGCTTGAACCTTTCAATGGCTATCCACTAGATGAAATCCAAACTAATTCCCATTGTACAGAAACACCTTTGTTACCTGTTATTTCTTACTGCTCTAGCTTTACTCCACGATCTTTAAATTATTTCTATAATAAGGTGAAAACTAGACCATACTTTTAAGAAAGAGTTGAACTCTCTGAACACAGTTTTCTTTTTCCATCCAGCTGAGTTTATTACTCTCCTTTATGTCATCCTGTTCCTCTTATCAACACTTTCACACATAAAATAAATACTTTTGTCTATTAAACCATAAATTCAATGCTGTATCAGGATTGAGCTAAGTGAACCCTAACACTGATGTAAACAACCCTGGGGACTGTTTCACTAGCCTTAATTTCACTGCTGACCAAGATGATTTTAACTTATTCACCTTACCTCAACTGGATGTGATCTGCACCCAGAGAATGAAAATTAACTGTGATTCAAGTAATGTTCTAAGAAGTAAAATAAACAATACATTCCAAAATCAAATCCAATGACCTACTTTATCTATTCACTGTATTTTATGAATGCTTTATTTACATGCACTGAAATATGAATTATATTTGTTTGTACATAATCATATGATCTTTTGAGAGATTATAACTATGCCCAGTTTTATCAAGGATTCCCAAACACCTAGCAATATTATGCTCCTGTGAGTATTCAAAGAGTGAGACTCTTATTAATTGCAATATTGCATTATTATTCTTTGTTAAATCAAAACTTTGTTCCTGAGTAAATATTATAAGCTGCCATCATATTATTTTCATAGATAATTTCACAATAAAATTCAGAAAGCCCCAAGCAGGAAGTCTAGGTTTGAATACCTAAAAACTAAATTCTGAAGAAATTCACATCTTTATTCTGTAAACAGTACAATTACTTTTTGTTTAAAATTTATGTTCTCCCATAAAATTTTAGGTCATCTGGCAATGATGAACAGACACATTTCTTAACCACAAGTGCTTACTGAACTATAAACAATTGTGCTTTCACTTCTCGATTCCACATTTTTTTTTGCCTTTTCACCCAGTTGAAAATATTCTTCCCCCAAAACCACAATAATCCTAAGCATGAAACAGAAATCTGAAACCCAACTCTAAAAAATAAAAAAAGAGTAGACAATACTGACCAGGCCATTGGAATATTCATCACAGTCTATAGCAATGAGAACAATCAGAATTTAGCAGGGCATGTCAGCCAACTGGAATGACAGTGTCACAGTGCTACCACCATGAATGTCACTGTGACTTGTTCTGCAGAGGTAGTCTGTAGTGTTTGGGAGAGGGTGAAGAGGCAAGAGAAGGTCCAATTTTTAAGGAAATCTAAGGAAAAAGCACACAAAGGTTCCAAGAAGGCAAGAGATTCCTAAGCAAAGTTTATACAGAACTGGACAAGAGGGGGGTACTCTGGACTGAATGTCTGTGTCCCCTACAAATTCATATTTTGCAGTTCTAACTCTCAGTTTTGCTGTAATTGGATATAGGACCTCCAAGAAAGTAATTAAGGTTGAATGAAGCCACAGGGTGGGGCTCAGATCTCATAGGATTAGTGTCCATGTAAGAAGAGACATCAGAAATCTGCATCTCACTGGGAGCAAAGAGAAAAGGCCACAATAGCACACAGCCAGATACATGCTGCCTACAAACAAGGAAATGCAGAACTCTCACAAGAAACTGACCATGGTGGTACCCTGATCTTGGACTTCCAGCTTTTGTTGTTGTTTAAACCAGACAGTCTATGGTATTCTGTTACGACAGTTCAAGCTGGGTACTGCTGTAAAAAATCCCTAAAAATGTGGAAGTGGCTTTAGAGCTGGGTAATGGGTAGAGGTTGGAAGTCTGAGGTAAATACTAGAAATATGGATGTTAAGGGTAATTCTAGTGAGGTGTCAAATAGAAATGAAGAGATGACTGGATACTGGAGGAAAGGCAATTGCAATGAACTGAGTGTTTGCATCCCATCAAAATTCATATGTTGAGGTCCTAATCCCTAATGTGATGGCATTTGAAGGTGGGGCTTTTAGAAATAATTAACTTATAAGGATGGAGTTTTTATGAATGAGATTAGTCCCTTACAAGGAGAGACACAAGACAGATGATCTCTCTTCACCATGTGAGGATACATCAAGATGGCCATCTATATACTAAGAGGTTGGCTTTCACCAGGAACCAAATCAACTGACACCTTGAACTTGGACTTCCCAGATTCCAGAACTATGAGAATGAAATACCTGTTGTTTAAGCCACCCAGTATATTTTGTTATAATAACCCAAACTAAGACAGCAATTTTTCTTATTAAGTGGCAAACAACTTGGCTCAATTATATTCTATTGGCAATAATCACACCTCGGATAAACCTCACTGGCTATGATACTGCCACTGCACAAAGCTTGGCTCAATTGTATTCTAGTGTTTTGTAGAAGACAGAACCTGTGAGCCTCAAGATTGGATATTTAGCAGAAATTTGTAACCAAAACGTAAAAGGCAGAGCCTGGTTTCTCCGGACTTCTTAAGAATAAAATATGGAAGAAAGATGACTTGAAGAAGGAATTGTGAAGCAAAAAGGAAGCAGCACTTCAATACTTTGAAAATTCTCAGTTTGTCCACGCTGCAAAATATGAGGAAGCACGTTTGAAGAGAACCCCAAGGGTGTGGCTAGACTATCACTTGATAAAGAGACTGTGGGATGTATGAGCAAAAACAATGCCAGTTTGAACTGAAGGAGAAAGATACTAGAGGGAATGAAGGAAGGCTGTTGGACTTCATTCTCCAGGACAGGACAATAAAGCTATTTTTTTTCAATGTTTATTTTTGAGACAGAGAGAGAGAGACAGGGGACAGAAGATCTGAAGCAGGCTCTTGCTCTGTGCTGACAGCAGAGAACCTGATGCAGGCTCTAAACCATGAACCGCTGGGTTCTAACCCATGACTGAAGCTCAAATCCCCAAGTCGGAAGCTCACTGCACTGAAGCCCCCAGGTGCCCCTAGAGGTATTCTTTTGGGACTGTGCATCATCCATCAAAAAAGGTATGACTCCAAAGGCAATTAGGAGATCATCAGGGCTGCCACTCATTATAGGCCCTCGGGGGCAGGGTTGATTATTTCTCCCCGGTTTCAAAGGATGGGTCCACGTTTTTGGTTTAGGTGGGCTAAAATTCCCCCTCCTTGCCTCAGTGTCAAGGCTTCTGCAGAGAGCCATAAGGGTAAAAGGCCTCACAGAGCCATGAGGGTGACACTGACATCTCAGTAGACCTGGAAGACAGATCACTGAACTAAAGGAAATCTTCCTCGTGCCTTACAATATAATGGAATTTTCCTTGGTTGTTTTTGGACTTACTTGAGACTTATCACTCCTTTCTTCCTTTCTATTTCTTCCTTTTGGAATGGGAATGTCTATCCTATCTATACCTGTTGCAGCATTGTATTTGGAAACACATTAACTTGTCTGGTTTCACAGGCTCATAGCTGTTGAGGAATTACGCCACAGGATGAATGGTACCTAGGCTCCCCCAACCACCTCTGATTTAGATGATGTGTAGATGAGATTTTGGACACTAGACTTTAGAGTTGATGCTGAATGAGTTAAGACTTTTGGGGCTGTAGGGATGAAATGAATGCATTCTGCATGTGAGAAGGGCATGAATTTTGGGAGGCCTGGGGCAGAAAGCTTTGGACTGTTTGTGTCCCCTCAAATTCATATGTGAAGCCCTAACCCTAATCTCCAGTGTAGCTATACTAAGACATGGTGCTTCTAAGGAACTAAGGTTAAATGAGGTCATAAAGATGGGGACGCTGATTCATTAGGATTACTGTCCTTATAAAAGACACAAGCAATCTGTCTTTCCTCTTGTGCACAAAGAGGTCATGTGAGCATACAGCTATGTGCAGCTGCCTTCAAACCAGGAAGAGAACTCTCACTGGTACTGGATCATGGTGGTTGACACCCTAATCTCAGAATTCCAGCCTCTAAAGCTGTGAGAAATCAGTGTCTGTTGTTTAAGACACCCAGTCTGTGACACTTCATTATGGCAATCGAGCTGACTGAGACAGGGGCTATTATAGGCTAACCTTTCCAAGGCGTGAAGTGTATAGGAGCACTGAGTGTACATACTGCCCCCCTTCCACTCTGAGTACTCACAAGGCAAGGTCTTCTTTATTAAAACAACAACAACAACAACAACAACAACAACAACAACAAAAACTTCCTCATTTAAAACACCTTATTTTGTAGCACTGGAGGTAATATTTTTAGCTTGGAAAATAGGTTTAAATTGGTGTCCAAAAATCACACTGAAAACAACTTTTAAAAGGTCATAAGGCTAAAGAGAAAGTACAGAGATACTTAAATATCTCTTTTACAAATGTAACATCAACTTAAAATAAGTGTGTTGAGAAAAATTTTAGGAATTATAAAAATTAGCAAATTCCTAATTGTGGCTGATTAGAAGAGTGCTCTAGAGAGTTCTGAGGCTCAAACCCACCCTCCTCTAAACAATCCTGAAGAAGGCCGGAAGTGCATGTACATCTGTATGGAATAGTAGACCCTCCACATGTGGAAATACTATAAATCTGTATAGCACAAAGAGCTGAAACTATAATTCAGCTGAAACTACAATTCAAAAATAGTTATTTTTTATATTTATTCCAATAGCAACCCTCAACCCTCTCCCCTCCTGTTGTTGCAACTCTTCATAAAAGATATTCTAGTGAACAACTTCTAATTCATTAGTTAAGTCACTTTAAATTACGTCAAAATGGGCAAAATCTACAATTAGCTGGAGCTCTGAATGTCCCACTTAAAGTACAGCAAATTCACAACTATTAAACAAAAGTAGGTATTTTAGTCGTGGGCACCATCTGTTTTCTACAACATTGTAACAAACACAAACAGGAAAGGGGGAGGACAGGGGAAGGGAAAGCAGCCTAAGGAATAAAATGAGATGATGTCATGGAAGTGCCTCTCTTGAAAGGTATGCAAGTGAGAGACCAGGGAGTTCCAATCACGGAAAAACTGCGAGGGAAGTAAAACACTTAGTGAAACATGATCAGAGCGCCTGTACTTGGGAACACCACACACGACAAGGTAAAACAGCAAAACAGAATTTTAAAAGTAGAAAGAACCCAAGGTCTCACAAAGTCCACTCTTATCAGTAAAGAAAGTGAGGCACTGGTCACATGACCCACACATACTTTTGGCTCTGGCAGAGCTGGGACCAAAATCAACATCTCCCAACTAGGACTATATTTACACTCAGATGTCATGTAATGTTTTTAAATTCACCACTGACATCTATTTATTTACTTCATAAACACTTCCTGAGCTACCAGGCACTCCCTCAGAGTTGGTAGGTAAGAACTATACATCTTTGCAGACTTTGCTCAGTTATTATTCACTTATACTTTGTGTAATTACAGTGTAAGAGGACACTGGAGGTAAATTTACACCAAAGATAGAAAAATATATTAGGCCTAGTTGCCAAACATTTCATGAAGGACATAACTGACCTTTGAAGGAGGTGCTCAGTGTTGTGCACATGCGTGGGGTAGCATGTAGGGCAGTGGGAAATAAGCCTACCATCAGGTAGGCTGGACACATGACCAAGAATGCCACACAGGACAGCTTAGTGGTGGTGAACATTTATTCCAAAGACAAGTAACAGTCAAAAGAAATCTTTTAAAGCAGAAGAGTGAAATTATCAGATTTGCTTCTTAGGATGATGACCCTGATAGGCTGAAAATGAGGAAAGGTCAGTGGCAGGGAGACCACAGGGAGACTGACACAATCACCCAGGCATGAGGGAATTTGAGCCTGAATAGTAGCAGATGGGATAAATGAAGAGATCTGACTTGAGAGAGTTCTGAGGCAGAATCACCAGAATCTAGGGGTGAGATGGACTGAAAAAATGTCCAATTGTGAAGACTGCTCAGTTAATAGACCAGGAAGGCAAGTCTAGGGCATATTGGGTCTACAGGACCTACAGGATTCTACAAGTGCTGGTGGGGCCAGCGCTGGGCCAAGAAAGGCAGCAGGACACAGAGTTACCAAACCACCGGGCAGTCCTGGGGGAGGCAGCATGGAGATTCTAGATCACCCATGCAAGGCACACAGGACAGGAAGAGGTCCAGGGCAGAAGCCTAAGGAAGCTAAAGCCACACATAAAAAAGGGTTCAGCAAAGAACCAAAAAGGCAAGTGAACATGGGAAGGGGCAATCCATGGGGGAGCACTGTCCTTAAAGGAAGGGTGACCAGCTGTGTGAGTGCCGCAGGAAGACAGCAATTCATGGAAATGAAGCATCACTGGGATGAAAAGTGGTGTGAAAGTGGGCCTCCTGACTACTTTTTTTTCTTTTAATGTTTATTTATTTTGAGAGAGTGTCTGTACACAAGCAAGGGAGGGGAGAGAAGGGAGGGAGGATGCCAAGCAGGCTATGCTGAGCAGAGCCCTACACAGGGCTCAGTCCCAGGAACCCTGAGATCATGACCTGAGCTAAAATCAAAAGTTGGACACCTAACTGACCGAGTCACCCAGCTGCCCCTGCTGGCTACTCTTTTAAATTACTATCACAGTACAAAAGCACAGCTTCCAATTTTTACAACTTTATGTGGCATTTTACTAATCTAAGAACTTGTTTATTCATTCTGCAGGCTGAAAATGTTCCTATTTGGTCACATAAAAATTTACAACTGCATCTGTTCAGAAAGATAGGTAGGACTGTGTAATAAGCCCATTCTTAGAGCACCTTCTTTAAATAAGATTCACACTACATGGGCCCCCAAGAGCAGTGCCACCTGTCCTGCCGAGTTCCTCCTCCATAGCAGTCTCTCCTGAAAGATGAGGAAAAATCAAGTTTGGGCTTGTACTTTCAAACGGGCTTCTCCAAGCAATAGGATCCTAAGTGAAAAACCTATAACCCCTTTGAAAATAAAAATGAGCTGAAGAAATTTGGAAAATTAGATTGGTGGAAAGGTTAAGATAACCTAAACAAGATTTCACAGCATGGATAAATGCCAGTGGGATACTGAACTAGGATACAGGGTAAAAATGACAATTGGTTCAAGCAAGCCAAAGAAAATGCTGCCTTGCCAATATCAACACTTTCTTAATGGTTGAAATCAGGGTTTTTAAGATATATGTAATGTTCATCATCGACAAGGTCCCAACTGAACGCTATGAATTTTTATTTATTGAACCACATATGGAATTCAACAGGAAACATGTTTTACCCACTATATAATTCATTTAGAATGGGTTAACTGTGCAGTCTTATTTTTGGATAACTTACAACAGAAAACATAAAGTTTCTTTTAAACCTCAGGCCAATGAGTAAACAATCTTAAAACTATAAACTACTGTTTTTCTTTTCATATAAAAAGAAATGGAGATTAAGTA